ACTTGTTGAATTAAACTCTCATCCCAATGTTACGATGCACATAGTTTTGATCAGATTTATTTTCAGACTAGTTGAAACCCTAAAAAATTTTTGGGACAACATTGGTGAATACAGACAACTTCAGTTTCTTCAATGCCCAACAATCACAGAAGCTGTCTCTCAATTTGTAGCAATCTTTTGTGGACAAGAAACTCACAGATTGGAAAAGATCAGAGAACAATTCTTCAAACTAAAATGCTGTTCTCTCCATCCAAAAGACCTTGACAGACACTATCAACAATTCTTCCAGTATTTTTACATACTTGGTGGATTCGATGATGTCAACTTAAAGCAAGCATTTTTTAATTCTGTTCTAGAAAAACTTGCCCAGTAAACAAGAACCTAGTTGAACCTCAGATCTCTTGATGTTAAATCTATGACCCTTGGAGATATCTACAAGATGATGCTGAAAGCCCTTGATAAGATTACAAAGAGCACAAATACATTAAAACCTTGGTGCACAACTCCAAAAAGCTTGAAAAGCCCTGTTCTTACTCCTCATCAGGACTTCAAATCAAATGTTCCTTCAAAGATCCCACATGTTTTTACAGCAACAAGAAAAAGAAGCATTTCAGAAGATTCAGACCTTTTAGACCTCCCTTAATCTCCAGACCCAGACACAAGAAGTTTTTCAGATATGCTGATAAACCAGAAGATTTCAAAGATTCAAATTTGCAAGAAAGAAAAAAGACCCAAAGATCAAAAGCTCAAAATGTTTTCTCTGTGAAAAACCAAGACATTTCTCAAAGAATTGCCCAAAGCCATATCAAAAATCAGTCAAGATGATCCAAGACATTGCTAATATTTCAGGTATCAATCTCTTAGATGATGATCTTGAATTAATTTTCTCCATTGATGATGAGCAGAATGAAAGATCACTGTTTATGATTAAGCAGTTTGATGATGATGAGTATGCAGATTCAGATTATTCAAAATACTCAGATGATTTCTCTGATGATCAATGTTATGAGTATATGTCAGTTCAAGAACTCTAAAAACTTCAAATCCTTCAACCTCCAAAATTATCCCTAGCTCCAGTTTAGATTTTCACTCACAAACATTCCCCTCCTATCACAGTTACAGCTTTCTTTGATACAGGTGTAACCCAAACCATAGCAAACCCTCTTGTCTTACCTAAACACTTTTGGACAAAACAGAAAACCTTCTTCAAAATCGCTGATGAAAATGTATTCTCTACAGACTTTGTCAGCAACCCTGTTACCCTTCAAATATTTCCAGGATGTTAAATAACTCAAAAGATTTTATGATCTCCACTCCCCCAGAAAGACCTTGTTATTGGTTTTGATCTCATTACCAGTATACCAGGTTTAAAGCTTAGTAGAAAAGGTATAAAATTTGAAAGTTATTTCAGACCTTGGAAAAACCTTCCCAACCTCTTCACCCTCACCCTTCAACCATATGTTTTTCAAGATTTCAAACACAAGTTCATTCACTTTTCGTGTGCAGAAAGTCACTCAGATTTCCTTAAGAAATGTGATAACCCACTTTGAAAAAACCCAAAATTTTTTATTTCCCTTCCCTTCAAAAAGATGAGAATGCCAACCCTACAAAAGCTAGTCATTCAGGCATGAACCCAGACCATCTCAAGCAAGCAATCCAAGAATGTTTCCTTCTTCAGGCTCAAGGATTAATTGAACCAACCTCCTCTTCATGGGCGTGTGAAGCGTTTTATGTCAATAAACGTTCAGAACAAGTTCGTGAAAAACTCAGATTGGTAATCAATTGCAAGCCTCTTAACATTTTCCTTGCAGATGATAAGTTCCCTCTTCCAGACAGAAAAATTTTGTTCGTAAATTTGGCAAATGTAAAAGTTTTCTCAAAGTTTGATCTCAAGGCAAGATTTTGACAACTAGTTATACATCAACAGGACAGATACAAAACGGTATTTTGCATTCCTCAACACCATTTCCAGTGGACCGTAATATCTTTTGGATTAAAAGTTACTCTTTCACTGTTCCAGAAAGTCATGACCAAGATATTTGCTCCAATTCTTGCTAATGCCTTAATTTACATTGATGATATCTTACTGTTCTTTCCAGATGACACATCTCATGCATAGTTATTGGATAAGTTCCAGCGCATAGTTCAACAGTATGAAATAATGCTGTCAGAGAAAAATATGATTATTGGTGCTACAAAAATTGATTTCCTAGGCATGCATCTCAAAAATGGTTAGTACATTGCTCAACCTCATATTGCTCAGTCACTTATAGATTTCCCTGAAGCAAATTTTTCAAAGAAGCAAATCCAACAATTTCTCAGCATAATCAATTACATGAATGAATTTCTCTCAGATATTGCTCAGCTCACATATCCACTCAGACAGATACTCAAGAAAGAACCACCCACGTGGTCTCAGATGCAGACAAAAGTAGTACAAGCCTTGAAGATAAAAGCTCAGTCACTTCCTACTTTAAAGATTCCCTCAGATGAAAAAAGAATCTTGCAGACCGATGCTAGTGAACAATTTTGGTCAGCAATCTTTCTTGAATAAAAAGATGGAACCAGACATATCTGTGATTATAAAAGTGAAAAATTCAAAGATTCGAAACTTCATTATCACTCTACACTAAAAGAGATTTTAGCTGTAAAGTATGGTATCCAAAGATTTGAATTTCACCTCATTGGATTTCACTTTTTCATGGAATTAGATATGTCAGCCTTTGATCAGATGCTTAATTTTAAAAAGAAAAAAATGCCACTCAGGCTATCACAATGGTTCTTACAGTACTCCTTCACCACCGCACATATAAAAGGTAAAGATAACCTCATCCCAAACATGCTCACAAGACCTCCTTCGAAACCTCCTTCAAACACCTTACAGGTTATTCCAGTCATTTCCATGATGTACCCAATACCTTTTTCTTCAGCCTCTTCTTCAAAAAACCCTATTTTCCCTTCTTCTCAGAAACCTCACCTTGATGATGAATTTGATTTACCTGATGAATTCCTTAACCTTCCCATGGAAAATCTTCCTCCAGAGTTACCCAGACTTCTTGCCACTCAAACCCTTGACCAAAAAGCCTCACACCTTTTGCTCAAATACCAGTCCAAAACACTCAAAAAGTTTGGAGACACCTCCATTCAATCTCTTGGTATACACCCTGACTATCCCTTTATCCATCCCTTCAAATTCCCTGATCCTCTTTGTTTCCCAAAAGAAACAGTTTGTTTTATATGGTACCTTTGTCACCTTTACTATATTGGTATAGAATTCCCACTTCCAAAGCTTAAAACCCTTCTTCACCTTTTTCAGCAGTCAAACCATCTTCCCCTTCCAAACACCAGTTGGACCCCACAGTCACCAACATCTCAAGTTTTTCTTCACCTGGTTCAGACCCATTCCCATTTGGATCCAATGGATTGAAACCTATGAGAGATATATAAAAAGTTCTTCCTGATTCCTCATATTGTTTTAATTTTTCACAGATCTTGCAGCAGTTTGACAAAAGCTCTCCAGTATTTTTCCTATGTAGTAATTTATAGCTCCCAAGGATATTCACTGTTTGATTCCCAGTTTGATCACCCAGTTGAATACACTACCTTCCAGAGACAAATTTATGAAATGAATCACAAGTTTCTAAAGCAAAATTGGCCAGAGCTCCAAGATGAAGTTCCATGGGGGAAAACTATTATTCAGAGTACAATTATCAGCTCAAAATTGATAAAAAGATTTATGAAACTCGCCTTGATGGTACTTGGACAAACCTCTTTTTGAAATCACAAGATTTAAACTTGACATGCAGGCCCCATAGAATGGAATCCTTATTGGAAACCTCCTGAAGTTCTTCCACAAATGGAATGGCAAGATTCTCAAGACCCACTTGATGATTTTGATCCAGATCAATGGTTAGTCAACATCGGCTATGATTTCACACCAGGCGCAGATAACTCACACCTCAACATCTCTTCAGAACACACCCAATGTTCTCTCAAATGATGACCCTCATGGTGCAACAAGTCAAAAAGATTCCCTCTCCAGTCCAAATATTGTATAATTATGCGTGATGTTCCAGAAGACTCCACAGAAGTTGATAATGATGCCTTCACATCAAGACAACCTTATGTCAAGTCTTCTTTAACTTTATGTCTTAGTCAAGTCATAATAAATTTTTATCTTTTCGTATGAGTCATAGTGATGAGTCACCGTACCATAAGTGATGAGTCACTGTACCTTCCTAATACATGATTGACCCTAGTTATGAGTCATTGTACCTTAGTTATGACTCATTATCCTTTAGTCTTATCCTAAGCAACTTGTAAAGTTACTTTGTCCTAGTCTTGTCCTATTAGGCTACTAGTCCTTTACTTTTCATGTATAAATAGCATGATACTCTCTAGGAAGTAATCATCGAAAAAAACTCAAACAACTTCCTTTGTAAACAAAAACCTTTCTTTATAAAAATATGTTTGGCTAAAAACCTCTCTTTCTCTTTTGGTGCTTCCATCTTTCCTTTTCTCCATAGTTAAATTCTTTTAGCTTCATGATCATCTTCAACCTATTTCAAAAGTTCAGTGATACAAGTTAGTATCCTCTGCAGTTGCCATATTATTATGGATCCTCTTGCAACAGAAATTCTTGTTACTCTGTTAAACAGACCATTAATCCCTTTCCCTCGCCTAAAGAAAGTTATACTGCCCCAAGATCATACTACTCGTAAGTGCTATAGTGAAAGACATATCTCCATAAAAGTCAGGCACCCAGTTCGACGTTAAGCAGGAAGGCGCCAGAGTCTTGAACACCGGCTATAATACCTTGGTTATATGTCTGATCTATGGAAAGCTTATGATTGGTGTTATCTTGCCAAGTTTAATCGATCTTCACGTTGTTGTCATAGTACCAGATAGTATTGTCAGGACTCTACCACCCGGAGAGCCCGAAACTGAAGTCGTGTCAGTTGCCAGAGCCTTGGCCGTACTACCTGCTTGCCAGGAAATTAATGATGGATGAAAGTTTCAACGAAAAAGAAAGAAGACTTATTCTCCAAGGAGCCAGTTCATACTTTGATACATGTTGACGATAACCATCTTCCCAAAGTCAACTTAGGCTTTCCTACTTTCATATACGCCAGTGCCAAGCGAAGCGGCTTGTGAAATTACAAAAAAAAAGCATACAGGTGAGATAAAACATGTTTCTTCCATGCTTTTGGTATCAAGTTTGCACATTTTGAAATAATGCTTTTTGTGAAGTCTTTTTATTCTCATAATTTGGTTACTTGCTTTGTTTATTCAGTGTCTACTTACATATACAACGATCCACAATCTCTACTTCTTGCCAAAGATCCCTCCCTTTTTAGGCAAATCTTGTTGATTTTGGAGATGGAAAACGAGTACAGCCTCATGCAATTGATTAACAGTAAAGGAGATTTCAATGTGAAAGGGGTTGATGAATTCATGCAGAAAACAGGGCTATCTAAGTGCGGCCTCTCTTATGCTGTGGTTGCCATCATGGGACCCCAAAGTAGCGGTGTGTGCATGCTATCTAGATTCTTTCTTCACTTCTTTTACTTTTACACAAGACTTAAAAGTAGAGCTCTGGTAAAAAAAAAAAAAAAAATCTGCAAAACTTATTTGACTTCGAAAATTCATTAAATTTGTTTAATCTGAATTTCAACTTAAAATTTATTTTAGTTGATCAACCAATTACTTTTGTGACATCAACAAGTTCAAATCCCCATACTTACAATTCCCTTTTATATTTTTAAATTATGACCTCTTTTATATTAAAAAACAAAGATAAAATTAAATAACATGTTTTTTTGAATATCTACCCACCCTTTTTCAATTATTTTTGAGTTGAATGTCCGTTTTAAATTTTATAGAACAATCATTGATGCCAGTATATTTCCCAAGTATTAAGCTTTTCCGCTCTCTATATATAGCTTAGAATTAAGTGTGTCTAGATTGTACACTAAAAACCATATCTTGTTCTTACATCAACAGGGAAGAGCACCCTTTTAAATCATCTTTTCGGTTCAAATTTCAGAGAGATGGATGCATCCAAAGGAAGGTTTGTTCTTTCATTGTTACTATTCAATGGCCAAAATATATATTTACTCTTTCGTTAAAGTTTGAATTTAGTCTTAATTTTTACTATCCCAATGTTAGTCTTTCTACTTTAGTTTTAATAAATTTAGCTCTCTATTTTTATTAAAAATAGATTTAAGAACAATAAGTAATATTAAAATTTTGTCATTAATTTAGATGACATGGAAGTTAATTTAGTGATTACTTAACATGTTGAAGTAGACTAAATCTTCCGTTACCTGACACATAAATTTAAAAAACATCATTTTTATTTTAATAAGTAATTTTTAATTTAGAATAATAACATTTTGCATTAAAGAATAATTTTTTCATTATTAATGCGTGTCATGTGGTCGAAAAAGTTCAAATTAATTTGCATGTTACATTTTAAAAAGTCAGGCAGTCGAAGTTAATTGCAAATTTTTAATATTATTAGCAACCTTTTTAAACCCTTTTTTTTTTTTAAATTATAGAGATTAAGTTTATTAAAATTGGAGTATAGGGATCGAAAAATTCAAAACCACATCACTGAGACAGCAGAAGTCTAAATTCAGACTTTGAACTTTGCTCTTTCATATTCTCTAGTTGCATGCTTTCATATGAGTGATATATACAGGAAGTGATTTTTCAAAGACTGGATTCAATCTCAATACATACAAATTCTCCTTTTCCAATTCTCTTAGGCCTAGATCATCTTTGTAAATATATATTCAATTTCATCGCAGGAATCAAACCACTCAGGGAATTTGGATGGAAAAGTGTGCTGGCGTAGAACCTTTCATAATTGCCATGGATTTGGAGGGTAATGATGGCAATGAAAGAGGCGAGGTTAGAATTAGCTTAATTTGTTGGAGATGTTTTTGGTTGTTTAAGATAAACGCATTTGCAGTACCAATGGGATTGCAAGATTAGCTGGTATTTGGGTGAATACATACATAATTCTGAAAACATTTTGCAGTATTCATACACTTCGGAATTTCTGTTATTTTCAGGATGACACTGCATTTGAGAAACAAAGTGCTCTATTCGCTTTGGCTATTGCTGATATTGTGATAGTAAACATGTAAGTTTTTAATACAAGTAGATGCCTTGAATTTGGTATATTCAGCATATATGAATTTGTTGGTTGGATCTTGGATAACCTTGTCCTTGGATAGCCTACAACTTTTAGCTATGAACAAGAATGACGAAGCAAAATTAAGAGTTTTGTCTTAAAATTAGTATTGGATTGGTCATGTGTATGCCTTGATGTTTCAATTAGGGCTACCATGGTTGAATCCTAGTCATTGAAACTAAATGTTGATCACGAACGCATGTGCTTTGGATGTTAATACAGGTGGTGTCACGATGTTGGTCGGGAGCATGGGGCCAACAAACCTCTTCTAAGAACAGTTTTTCAGGTACTGATACTGTGTAAATCCTTCTATGTGTATGCATGTTTATTATTATTTGGATAAGTAAATTTTATTTATACAAAAAGCAGAATTCTGCTGCAGTCCTTCTACAACCAATTGCGGTCGACCAACTATCATTATCTACACAATCTGTTGACTATCACTATCTACACTATCATTCAGTATATTAGTATTAACGTTCCACCTTCTATGTCAATGCATGTTTATTAATTGTGCTCCACAATCCTATTACTTTTTTGAATCAGGTTATGATGAGTTTATTCAGTGCTCGGAAAACAACAATGCTATTTGTATTACGTGATAAAACTAAGGTCTGCGTTTCTGCCTTGAATTTAATTTCTACTAAACTGAGTTGAGATCAAACTTCCTGATAAACCTTTGAGATACACTTTTGCTTAATGAATTTGTTTCTTGCTTCTCATTGTGTATGTAGACCCCTCTTCCCCTTTTAGAGCAAACTCTGAAGAAGAATTGTGAAAAGGTATATCCTGCGTATATTGGTCTCCTTGTTTTCAATTCACTCCTTTTCCCTTCCTTTCTCTCCCATTATATTTGTTCATTTTGGTCATGATTGCTGCAGATATGGGATTCAATTCCTAAACCTGCAAACCATATTGATACTCTCCTGAGTGATCTTTTTAACGTAAGTAGGAGGATATCTATCCCTTTCTCTTTCTGCTGATCTCTTTACATTTTACTACTTCATATTGTTAGAACATTGTTTTTACTTTTGATCTTTGACATGAAGGTGGAGGTCACTGCTTTATCAAGCTATGAAGAAAAGGAGGAGCTATTCAAAGAGGAGGTAGTCTCTCTAGTATATATTTGCCTATAACCTCCTTTGTTTTTCACTTTCAGAGTGGGTTGTTAACTCTTTTCATGTTAAATTATTTAGCACAATATTTGGTCCTTAAATCTTATGTCTTAAGCAGGTTGCTGGATTGAGGAGGCGATTGCTCGAATCTATTTCTAGATCAGGACTTGTGGGTGATAGGCAAGGTGTTGTTCCTGCATCTGAATTTTCTTTTAGTGCACAGAAGATATGGAAAAGTATAAAAGAGAACAAGGATCTGGATCTTCCTGCTCACAAGGTTTTCTTTTGATCATTACATTCCTATTCGATAATATTTATAATTTATTGGTTCCTCATAAGTGTAAATGTTCCTTCATCATGTTTATCAGGTAATGGTTGCAACAGTTCGTTGTGAACAGATTGCCAATGAGAAACTCCATCAGTTTTTGTCTAATAAGGTACATATACTCTTCCATGTATCTTTCTTTTAGGAGTTACTCTGGCTGATTGAAATACTCTTCATTAGCTACTGATCAAGTAAATTTTGTATAGGATTGGTTAGCATTGCAAATGGCAATTCAATCCAGGCCGGTATCCGGTTTTGGAAACAAGCTGAGCTCTATCTTAGAAACCTATTTTTCAGAGTAAGTATTTTCCTATGTCATCCATTCTATTTCTCCTTTTGCTCTCACTTCGCCTTTTCTACAGTTGAATTGTTACAAATGGAGCACTGGTTATGCTGAAGTGTGCAAATTTAATAAATAAAAGTAGAGTGGCTTTTTCCTTTTATGCGTTTTACCCTTATATTTCTCATATTGAAATTTCTTCTGCCATAGATATGACAAGGAGGCATTCTACTTTGATGAAAATGTCAGAAATGAAAAACGAGAACAACTGAAGTCAAAAGCTTTTAACGTAAGCTACATAGAACAACTGTCATCTAAACCCATTTTTTATATTATAGACATCTTGCTTCCCTCTGATTGAGACACTCCTAAAATGTGCAGATTCTGCGTCCTCTTTACCTTAAGTTGTTGGGACATTTACACTCGAAGGCACTGGAAAATTTTAAGTCTAGACTGGAACATAAGCTGAGCAAAGAAGTAGGATTTGCAACTTCTGCCAAGTCCTGTATCAATTCTGTAATGCTCGAGTTTGACCAAGCATGTGCAGGTAATGTATATAATATCTTGTAAGTTTCTGTCTTGCATTTGTGCCATATTGTAAGTAACCGACCCTAAGTCAAGAATTAAACTTAGATATCGAGAGTTGAACCATAGAGACGTGGAGTACTGAGTTTTGAACAATTATGTTTTAGTTCAAATGCATGTAAAAATCATGAACGAATCTTTGATTTGAGTCAATATTCTCAACAGAAATCAAATGGTTTTTTATGATATTTAATTTTAAATGGTATAATTATTATTATTATTTTTATACTACAGTCAGGGGTATCCCACAATTTTCTTGGGCCTAATCCCTTCCTCGAGTTTAAAATAACTAGTACTGTTTGCTTGCAAATCTTCTATGCATGTACATTGTTTAGAATAACAGCCTTTGTTTTATTTTCAACTTGTGCATCTGCTTAAGTTAGCAGTTTATTTTTCTCTCCTCTTTCAGATGCCTCCATCAGACAGGTTAATTGGGATACTTCTGAAGTTCGGAAAAAACTGTCCCAAGATATTGATTCATACAAATCATCGGTTTTTGAAGAAATTTTGTCAAAAGTGAAAGTTAGATATCAGGTGATTTTCTTGATCGCTATTCCTTATAACCAAGCAACATATATGTATTTCATCAAAAAAAAAATAATAATAATATTGACATGTTGCTGATACTCAGGAAGCACTTGATAAAGCACTATCTAAACCACTAGATTCCCTGTTTGAACTTCCTAATGGAGAAACCTGGGCTTCAATAAGAAAGCTTCTTTCAAGCGAAATTGATATTGCACAATCCGGACTGTTAGCCGACATTTCTGGTTTAGAGTTAGAAGTAGAGAAACGCAACAAAATGATACAAGATTTGAGGGACTATGCCAGAAATATGGTGGAAAGAAAAGCAAGAGAAGAAGCTAGAAAAGTTCTCCACTCAATGACGGTTAGGTAGGGAACTAATGTTTAAATTCATTGTCATAATACATTAGATTTTTATAATTTTCATATTCATTACTACAATTCATTATATTGCTTGTTTTTAATCCTTGAGAGCTTATATATGTTAGGTTCTCAACCATCTTGAATAATGCAAAGAAAAAGGACTCAAAAAAAATTATTGGGGATGGCTACACTGAGGTAATTTTCTTAGCTATTTGATGGTAGTGGAACTTTAATAATTCTATTTCCTACGATTAGTAATTTGAAATGTCTTCCAATATTGTTCTGTTGCAGTCTCTTAGGCTTTTGTCTATAATGGCTGCCATCCAATTAGATGAGAAAGAGGATAAAATTGAGAAACTGCTGTTTTCGTCCCTTATGAATGGCAAAGAGAGTTCAAACACTCTTGCCTCCAGCACATGGCTAGAGGTAATTGGTTTGGATGGTTACTATCTTGATACAATATATTAAGGCATAATGATAAAAGCAAGCCCTCGAATTATAGTAAAGTTCTTGATACTGGAGTCTCTATTCTTTTATTCGTGTCATTTGACCCTTAACTTATTATTTGGAGTCAAATGAATCGAATTCAGATAAATTGTTTGATATGTGATGTTAACATTTTTTTTTTATTTAAATTAGGTTTATTTGACACCACACAATCAGTGAAGGTTTTAGTTGACACAAACACAAAAAAAATGAAAATTTACCGTAGTTTGAGAGCTTATTGTATCATTATGCCTACATAGACAATTTGGCAATTCAAAATTTTCTCATGTTAAATCAAATGTACTGTTAGGTATCTCCAAAGGATACGCTGATTACACCAGCGCAATGCAATTCGATATGGGAACAATTCCAAGCTGATATCTTGCCTCAAACTCAAGCTTTTGCTGAATTGCAGGTACGTTATATTGATTAATTGAGAGGAACGATTTAGGCCTTAATTTCTCTTACCAATTTTTTTTTTTTTTTGTCCTTTAGGCGATGAAAAAGGACCAGTCTATAAGAATTGCACAAATTGCTACAGTCGCTGGAATTTCCATTTTAAAGATTTTAACTGGAACATGCCCTCAAAATGGATGAAGACATTTAATTTTGTTCAGATTGATTTAAATTTGTTTTATTTTTTTACTTAGTTTGCACATTTCCATTTAAGCTTTTCTGTGCATTTTAAATGAATTTATTTAATTGGTTTCCTTTAAACTTTGTTGCAGAATTAATTGTAGTTAAATTATTTGTATGAGTTAAAGATGCAATTTAATTCAATTTTGGATCAATTTAAATTTAAGTAATTTGGACTTGAAAGTCCAAACTTAACAATAAAGTCAAAGTTCATTTTGTTAATTAAATTTTACCCTCTACCCCTTAACATCAAATTGATCACAGACCTAAGACCCCAAAAATTCAGCAAGCACATCATCTCAAATGCAGCAGTTTGCTGCTGCAATTCTACTAAAACATTCAATTCCTATGTCCTATCTAATTGGTGATTCTACAAGAACCCAAAAATTCACAGAAGGGTGAATCCACAGCAAAAAACAGTAAAAGCTTCTCTCGGTCTAACAACTGAACTACTCAAAAAACACTATAACCCAACACCATCTCTACCCATTCGACACCCTTCAGCACCCCACTAGCTCCTATCATCATCACCCAAACCACCATCACAGCCTCAGAACCCCTGCCAGTCGAACCAACATCACCACAACTCAACCTACTATCAACCCTTAAGCCACCATCACCTTCAAACACTACCACCACCAATAGGCTCGAACCTCTCTTAAAAAAATCTCAGACAGCAAAAACAATTCATAAGCAAAACCGACGAAGGCAAAAAAAAAAACCCCTTGAGTCATTTAGCCCTTTCACCAGTACAATATCACCCTCAGCTTAGCTAACAACAACCCGATAACAACCTCTGAATCAACTTCAACCATTGCCACCATCTTACAAAAACAGGATCGCCACTCTCAGCCTCTTCCTAGCCCACACACCACCAAAGCTCTACCTAAAACCCCAGGCCATCATAAAACACCATCAGACGGATTGGTTCAGACACCTCCCTTTCACCAGCCTAGCTGAATAAACTCACCATTCCCACCAGAACCGACCTGGTGATTCATATATTTGTATAATGTAAAATACTGAAATTTATGTATTCATATTGTGTTTTACACAAAAACTAGCGACTGATCAATTAAATTTTGTATAGGATTGGTTAGCGTTGGAAAGGGTAACTTAATCCAGGCCGGTATCTGATTTTGGAAGCAAGCTGAGCTCTATCTTAGAAACCTATTTTTAAGAGTAAGTATTTTCCTATGTCATCCATTCTGTTTCTCCTTTTGCTCTCACTTTGCCTTTCTTACATTTGAATTGTTACAAATCTAATAAATAAAAATAGTTATGCTGAAGTGTGCAAATTTAATAAATAAAAGTAGAGTGGCTTGTTCTTTTTACCCTTATATTTCTCATATTGAAATTTCTTCTACCATAGATATGACAAGGAGGCATTCTACTTTGATGAATGTGTCAGAAATGAAAAAAACAGAACAACTGGAGTTAAAATATTTGAACGTAAGGACTACATAGAACAACTGTCATCTAAACCCATTTTTTATATTATAGACATCTTCCTTTCCTCTGATTAAGGCACTCCTAAAATGTGCAGATTCTGCGTCCTGCTTACCTTAAGTTGTTGGGACATTTACACTCGGAGGCACTGGAAAATTTTAAGTCTAGACTGGAACATAAGCTTGTGAAAGGAGTAGGATTTGCAGCTTCTGCTAAGTCCTTTATCAATTTTGTAATTCTCAAGTTTGATCAACCATGTGCAGGTAATGTAAATAATATCTTGTAAATAATCTGTTAAGGGTATTTTTAGGTCCAAAAGTAAAATTGATATTTTCTCCATTAGAAAAAGTCAGGAGACAGTTAGGGGCATTTTAACTTTTTGACCGAGCTAACATATCAAGCGATCTTGAATTCACGGGTCACATTAACTCAACCATCTCATTAGTCTATAGGCTAGACTCCTTTGATGCTGATTTGTCACGGCCTGAGAATATTAAACGTCCAACTCAGCTCATGCCTACCAGGTCATCTAGTACTAGGGTTGACCTCGAGTAACCTACACTGCCTAAAATCTCTTATCTTGTATGTATAAATAACACTATCCAGGTACTATTTTCTTATTTTGATTTCTCTATTTTTCTATTATCTCCTTTCCATTCCTCATCTTTTGATATCTGATATCTGGCTTGAGCGTAGGAGTACAAACACTGAGACCACTCTTAGCTTTTGTTCTTACTTGCTCTCTTTCTCTTTCTGGTAATTTCAGGGTTTTACTCCTCGAAGGCAGCTAGACACCAAACATAACTGATCCTAAGTTAAGAATTAAACTTAAATATCGAGAGTTGAATCATAGAAACGTGGAGTACTGAGATCTGAACAATTATGCTTTAGTTCAAATGCATGTAAAAAGTCACGACCGAATCTCTTATTAAATCTTTTAAGATTTGAGTGAATATTAGATTTGAGTGAATATTCTCAACAGAATAACTAGTACTGTTTGAGTGAATAACAGGTTTTAGTGCATATGCAGTGTTTTGAATAACAGCCTTTGTTTTCTTTTAAGCTTGTGCATCTGCTTTCTCCTTTTTTAAATGCTACCATCAGACAGGCTAATTGGGATACTTCTGAAGTCCGGGAAAAACTTTCCCATGATATTGATTCATACAAACTATTGATTTGTGAAGAAATTTCGTCAAAATGGAAGTTAGATATGAGGTGATTTTCTTGATAGCCATTCCTTATACCATGCAACATATATGTATTTCATAAAAAAAATCATAATAAATATTGACATGTTGTTGATACTCAGGAAGCACTTAATTTAGCACTATCTAAACCACTGAATTCCCTATTTGAAATTCTTAATGGAGAAACCTGGGCTTCAATAAGAAAGCTTCTTTCAAGCGAAATTGAGATTGCGATATCAGTAGTGTTAGCCGGCATTTTTGGTTTAGAGTTAGAAGTAGAGAAAAGCAACAAAATGATACAAGATTTGAAGGACTATGCCAGAAATGTGGTGGAGAGAAAAGCACGAGAAGAAGCTGGAAAAATTCTCTACTCAATGACAGTCAGGTAAGGAACTAATGTTCGAATTCATTGTTATAATTCAATAGATTTTTAATCATTGAGCATATGTATGATAGATTCCCATCCATCTTGAATGACGCAACTGTGAAGAAAAAGAACGCACAAAAAATTATTAAGGATGGCCACACTGAGGTAATTTGCTTAGTTATATGATGGCTAGTGGAACTTTAATAATTATATCTCTTACTATTAGTAATCTGAAATGTCTTAAAATATTGTTAATTCCTGTCTCTTAGGCTTTTGTCTGTAACGGCTGCCATGCGATTAGATGAGAAATAGGATAAATTTGAGAAAATGCTGTTTTCCTCCCTTCTGAATGGAAAAGTGCGTTCAAAAACTCTTGCCTCAAACACATGGCCAGAGGCAGTAGGTTTGGATGGTTACTTTCTTGATACAATATATGTAAGGCATAATGATAAAAATAAGCCTTCGAACTATAATAAAATTATCGATACTTAATTCTATGCTAGCTCTTTTATTTATATCAATTGACTCTCACTTATTATTTGGTGTCAAATGAACCGACTTGGGATAAAAATATTTGGTGCCAACATTTTTATTTATTTAAATTAGGTTCATTTGACACAACGTAATCAATTAAAGTTTCAATCACTACAGAAAAATGATATATTAGCGACAATTTTGTAGTAGCCTTTGACTTACAAACGCTGCTAGCTTCCATGTTTTTATAAAACTTTAGGCGTTTATTATTCAAACGCCACTAAATATTCAAATAGCGGCGGTGTTACTTATAAACGCCACCCAAAACTTGATATTACAGGCGTTTCTCTACTAAAACGCCTTTATTAAAAATTTCAGTGAATAGTTAAGGTGTATTTTTGGCATACAATGCCTTCAATAATCACGTCATAAAAAATTGTATGAGATTAATGAAGGCGTATTCTACAAGAAACACCTTTAATATTTGGACCAAAATTTTTGCAAGCTTATCGAATTTATTTTGTTCGAAGATGCCTTCAATATTAAGCTTACCAAATTATTTAGATCGTACAGATATTTACCATAAGGTTGTAGGTTCGATCCATCCTTTAGCCTTTTTTGGGTTTTTGCACAGATTATTTATAATTGATTATTCTAGGCGTTTTCTTGGAAAAAACACATTCATCAATTGCTTTAAAAAAAATTTTCATAGAATATTGAAGGCTTTTTTCGTGAAGAGACACCCTTAATAATCCATAGGAAAAATATGAAGTCAATTTTTAAAAACATTTTTGGCCAAACTTGCCTTCTATAATCCAATCAGTAAATTTTTTTTTGTGATTTTTGAAGGCGATTTTGTAAAAAACGCCTTCAATAATACATAGACAAAACTTAGATGGGATGCTTGAAGATGTTTTTAGCTCAAAACACCTTTAATATTTCCAAAGATAAATTTTAATAGTCAGATTATTAAAGGTGATTATATCCAAAAACGCCTTCATAAACATTTTGTTAGGGATTATTGAAGGCATTACCTATATGAAACGCCCTTCATAATCTATTCGATTAATTTTTAGTTAGTATCATTGAAGACGTTTTTTGCCCAAAGTGCCTTTAATATTCCACACAATAATTTTCTGGAGGATTATTGAAGGCGATTTTGGTAAAAACTCCTTCAATGTTTTTCGTTAAGGGTGATTAAAGGCATTTTCTTGCTAAAAACGCCTTCATTAATCCCATAAAAAAACCTATTTGATACTATATATGTGAAGTCAGTTATAGGTTTATGCCCACAAAAACGTTTGCTGTCAGTTGATATTTATGCCTAGAAAACATTTGGTTTATATATCTGATACTATGAAGTACATTTTGGAATTTACATAATGAACATTGTTGTATTTCAATAAATTGACCACACATCCGAAATTAAAACTGATAACGTTGCCATATTAATATACTTTTCTGAAATAATCGTACTCAATAAT